GGTGATCACCAATTTAAAAGTCTTACTTGTTGGCCACCAAGCGCATGACAGTCCAGTCCTTTGGAAACATCTCCGGGCGGATCAGGATTCGGAACACGGTAAATATCTGCAACAGGAAATCCTTGGAGAAGGAGTAAATAGGCCAGTTCAGTGATTTTATCTTAACTGTGAATACACGTCTATGCACACACCTATAAGAAATACGCTATGCGTTACTGTTACCACTCGCAAAGTCATGAGCCTACTCTAACCACTTCCCCAGGAGAAGACCCATCACCCTTCCCATGCCTGCCTTCGCACCCTTCCCAAATGTTCCCTTTCTTCTTGTCTCTCATGCAAAGTAGAAATGACTTTTTACTTTTCTTCACAAGTTCTAAAAAAAAGTTGGCTCTGGAAACAAAATGGAACACTTGTGATAGAAGATTAGCAAACAAATATATTCCTTTGATTTTAAGATAGCATCTTAAACGCCAGCTTTTCAGCCCAAGAGAAAGATGACCAATCCTGGTTTAGATCAGCTAGTTTGCACCCTGTGTCCTGAGCCGCTCTCACTGCACACGGACCCTACAGGACAGAAGAAGGTTTCCAAGGTTGCAAATCTTTACAAGAACAGATCGCCAATCCTTTCCTCTGGGAAGTGCTGGTGGGCTCCCTTCACCAAGCTTGTGATTATTCAGCAGCCGAGCACTTGGCCGCTCTACCAGCAGGGCAGATTGTGCTGCCCCTGAGACAGATATCAACGTTTATGAAGTTATGTTTCTTAAAAAACAAAATCACCAATAGAAACTCAAGTTTCTTGAGGGTGCTCTAAAAATACGATCTTTGTCGGATGTGTGTGGGCTGACAGGATAGGAGCAAATTATTCTGAGTGTGGTGTGTTGGAGAAATTGGAATGAAGATAAACGCTAAATTGAGCCCAGCACCCAGGCCTCATGGCTCTGAGACCGCCACGCAGAGATCACGCTACATGACAGGAACAGTCACTCAGATGTTACCTTTAAACCAAACACCCGGAGACAAGAAGCTATTGTCAAACAGGAAAACATTTCTTCTTGACACAGTATAAGCGCCAGGACCACCGATGGTGCAGCACATGATACTAAGAGGAGACTCGGAGACAAGTGCCCACATTTAGTGAGGGAAGTGTAACAGTCTCTATTTGAAAAGTGATGGGCTAAATCGAGCTTTGATGTAGATTTATTAACTGCAACCACCTGATATTTTTTTTTTTGGTTTTAATAACCTTAAACGATGCTACGAAAACAATTTACTCTAATTTGATTGAAAGCAACAATACAGTGTTGCTTAAAAAATGAAAAAGCAACTCAAAACACAAGAGATTTATTTATCAAACTCAGAAACACATTATGCTCAACATGTAAAGCTGCTGCAATAAAAGATTATGGCTGTCACTCACATCCCCGGGAGATAGAAAGAATCTGAAAACTGAGAACCATGTGGTGGCTTTGTGTGTGTGCGTATGTGTTTGTGTGTGTGTGTGTGTGGGCACGCATGCGCACGTGCATGTTCTAACAGCTTTGATCGAGCTCATAAATATTTTGACAAGAACTTATTTTCGCTTCTTTGGCATCAACACACACGTTTGCATGCGGTAAGTGCCCTGTGGAAGTGTGTCCACTAGGCCACCTGTCATAAACGGCCAGGTTCATCCTGCTCATGTCGCTACACTCCCCAGAGACAGCACTTGGTAAAATGTGTGTGAGGGTCAGGAGATTTCCATCAGCACCTTACACTTTGACCCTCCCTTGGCAGACAAGGATATTAGGGTGTTGAAAGTTTAAGAAGCTATTTTAAATTTCATGTCCAGAATTTGTTCTGATGATCCTACTTGATTATTTGAGGTTTCCCACTAATACTTGTGATAGTCCCTATTCCCCACTAAAAGATTCCCCACTTTCAAAGAATTTGAATCTCACTTCAATTTCCTATCTGACTGACCATGCTATGATAGATACCACAAAAATATCTTGAAAGTGAAGGTCATTTCCTCTTGTAGTCTACATGTTGTTAGGAGGAAGGCCAAAAAACAATAAAAAAACCGAACCTACTGCCATCGAGTTGGCTCCTGCTCCCATGGACTCCAGAGGGTTCCTGACTCTAGAACTCTACAGGAGCACACAGCCTCATCTTTCTCCTCTGAGGGGTGTGTTTGAACTTCCAACTTTGAGGCTAGCAGCTAATGCCTAATCCACAGGGCCACCAGGGTTCCTTTGGTAGGTACAGTTTCAATAAATTCTCGAATCCTGAAGTTTCACTTTCTCTCCTAAAACTTCAATCATAAGTGAATCTAAGATGCCCCATTTTCTCTGTGTGTGTGTGCGTGTGTGTATGCGCGCACGCGCGCGCACGTGTGTGTGTGTGTGTGTGTGTGTGTGTGTGTGTGTTCATGTGTTTCACGGAGGAGAAACTGGATGAAAAGTTTGGCCACAGACCTCGAGACACCAATACCATAGACTAGCTGTGCTAACTTTCTCTTGCAGTTCTCGATGCAAAGGAAAAGGTATTCCCAGTGGAGGAGCTGGGGATGGACTATGCTCCTGCGTTATCTCATTACCCTGTCCGACTTTGCTCACAAAAATCAAAGGCCCAGGCAGTAGCATGTGTACTGGTTACAAATAGCGCACTTGAGGGAAAACTTGTACCTTTAGTTATAAAATGTGTCTAGCCTCTGCTTGAAAAAAAAATTCCCCATCAGAAGCACCTTCACTTATTGCATGTGCACTTAAATCATGACCAAGGCTTCTTTTCATGCACTAGTAACACGAAAACAAAATAAAATGCAAACCCATTAAACCAATCTTAACTCATAGCAACCTTTCAGGACAGAAGCAAACTGCCCCAGAGGGTTTCGAAGGGTATACATCTCTATGAAAGCAGACTGGGGCATATTTCACCCAAGGACCAGACAGTGGGTTCCAACTGCCCACTTTGGGGTTAGTAGGCGAATCTGTAACAGGTGCACCACCAGGGTTCTTTCCTACTGTCAAACCAACCAAATCCATTGCCTGGAGCAGCCTTAGAGGACAGAGTAGAAATGCCTCACAGGGTTTCCAAGGCTGTTACACAAGCAGGTACCACATCCTTCTTCCACAGACCCACCAAAGGGTTTGAAGCGCTCTTTCTGTGCCACTAGGGTGCCATTTCTGGCACTACAGTCAGGGCCATAAAGGTTGCATGCACTTGCTCCAACTTACCTACAGACTTGATTTAAAGGCACATTTACAAACAGATCTTGTTTGTAATCTCAGGACTGCCTGTCTAGTCTATTGTTATTTGAAAGATTTGCCACAAGTTTCAAATATGTAACCCCATTGATGTGGGATGTGAATTCAATGACAGGGTATTAATAATCATTTGTCGCATTTAAGTTGTGTAACCTAATTGAATCTTTAAGTACATTATACACAAATTAACTCGCAAATGGTCTTCAGTCTCCCAGGACTATAGAACTATTGTTTTGTAATCAATATGTTACAACAAAGAGTACAAATCGAAATAAACTGGACGGAAAAGGATGGTTTGTGAAGCAGGAAAACATTGCTTTGGAGCGTTGACTCATTCAGACAGGGTTGGATATTCTGGAATCTCTTCCTGGGACACAAAGACACGATCCCTGTACTCAGACCATCGTTTTCAGGAATGCGGGGGACACAGCAAATGATTACCATGCGACCCAGAGCAGGGGACACGGAGACTGCAGTCTCTGGAGGTTTCAGGAAGAAAGGGTGACATGAGGTGGAGTTTCAAGCACCAGTTGAAAGCGGGGCATGGAATTAGGCAAAGGAACTGAGGTGGTGATGGGACAGGTATTTCGGGTGGACAAAAAGGTTCAAAGAAATTCAAATTTGCATGCTATGCATGGTCACCTGGGGCTTGTATGAGATTTTAAGCAGCTGGAGTGCTAGGTGTTTGGAAGGGAGTGGAAGATGATGAGGTTAGAAAGCAGTTACGGTCAGGGAAGATGTAATGAACAGACTGGTTCTGGTCTTGCACGCAGGGACTACTCAAGAGTTGTACGGTAGGTGAAGACCCAGTCAGATGTGATTTCTGAAAGCTAGTGGGCTGGTGTATGGGCGACACTGAAAGTTTACATTAGTCTGTGCTTCTAGAACATGTATAATCGCATGCTTAAATCAAAAACCTCCTGCTTGTCTATGAAAAGCCTTAATCAACAAAGAGCAGGAATCTAACCATTACAGATGCATGAAATACCAGGGAGATGGACACCACTTTAGCCCCCAGCACAAGGTGGGTGTATAATAAAACATTACTGACTATAGAAGGAGGAAAAAACCCCTAATCACTACCTAGTTATTGCTTTTGTTGATTTTTAAAATAATGCCTTGTTCTAGAGAAGGAAAAAAAAATTAAACAATGCTGAGAACCAGCCCCCGGGTCTTTGCTCCTACACACTTTGTGCTCTGACACTGTGACTCACTCCACTTTGTCAAGTACCCGGGGCCCAAGGAGAAGAAATGGCACAGTGTCTGAGAAGTCAGAAACCACGCCAACAGTAACCCTGGAGCCATCCGGGGTTTTCAAGCAAGAGTACAATTTAAACACCATTACTTAGTGGACACTTGAGACCCTCAGTCTCAAAATTCATTCTGACTCAAAGAACTCTTGGACAATCTGGGACAATGCTTTCTTTTAACTGGGAATCTTGGAAGAAACAGTGGTTTTTTCCAAAGAACAACAAAAATGTTCATTTGAAATTGTCAATATATCATCTGTCACTATCCACTGAAATCTAAATTGTGCATAGCTTATGACTCTTCTAAATCATGCATAGCCTATGCATTCTTCTTCCAAGAATTTAAAGAAATTTGGGACTAAGTTCACATATATATTTAAGATGTTCATTGTTACAGTATCCATTCTGTAAATCCTGGACACAATGGAGTGACTAAATAAATTATCTGGCACCCCTATAATGACATTTTAAAGAAAAAGGTAATGTTCTCCATGTCATCCATGACATCTGACTGTGGCAAAGACCATGTAGACCTCGATGAAGAGTATGATTACATGGTACACAAATAATGTGCAGTGAGCGCAGGAAATCCTCTAGGAGGAGATATCCTTTTATGTTAATAGTAGCTATCCCTGGTGATTATTGATCATTTCTATATTCATAGGGGCTATAATTTAAGGTCTTTCACTCAATTTTAATTATAACCTCCAGATTGAACATAAGCAGGAAAAACAATTGTTTTCAGGTGAAATGCCAACTGACTGGTATATGGACTAGCTCTCCCCAAACTCATTCTTTGTTCTCTATGACCCAGCTTGTGAACTGCACCAAACTAACGAAAAGATTCATTTCAGAACACGCAAAATATTTGAGTCAGTTAACAGTCAAAGACTAGACAACCCTATGGGTGATAAATATAAAAATTTCCCACACAGCCATGGCAGGGTGAAGGTTTCTACTCAAGCAGACAAGGCAGGGTGATTGTGTCTGTTGTCCTATAATTAATTCCCTACAACCGAGCATTTGAGCATCCTTTCAATATGATGGAGTGTTTGGAAAACTGGAGAAGGATGAGGGAAAATGTAAATGAGAGAGAAGTCATTCTCCACCCCTCCACAGGAGAATTAGCTTCTAAACTTTTCATAGACACCATTGAAAGATGCACCAGAAGTCTCTAAATCTTAGCAATGATTGGATTTTTATAAGCCTGACACCCGCATTTTCTATGTAATGTCAGCCTGCTGAACTCGTCCAGTATATTGATTAGAGCTGATGAGATTATCAAAGACAATGCTGCTTTCCTTAGTCAGAGCATGGTAGCCAGAACTTCTTATGACGGTGTTAGAGGAATGAAGCTAGCTAATATATTTATCTATTCTTCCTTATCTTTTACGTAGGCAATGTTTGTAAATATACTACATTAGGGTTAGGCTATTTTCCCTTTTCTCCTTCGTTTTGTTCCTGTGTTTCTGGCCTACAGAACTTTCACGATAAAGGTTTCCAATTCCATGTTCTTGTTCAAAAGAAGAGCTAACGTCTCTGCTTGATTAGCAGAAATCGTAATTAAGGTCTAAAACAGAGGAGAAGGTGTGAGGATGAAACGGAGGAAAAGAAACAGACTGTAATGGAAACCGGGAAGGCTACGGTCAAGGGATGATCTGAACAGAGATGGGTAAGAACAAGAGACATGAAAAAGGCATTGATTAAAATAATTTTTTAAAATGCAACTTACCCTTAGATCTTCCTTTGTATTGAAACTATCAAGAAGCTGCTGATAATGTCTATCTGTCATCTGTCGTAAAAGGGACAGGAGACACGCAACAAATTCCCCCTAATTAAGGGAAAAAAAAGTGAGGGAAAAGTGCATATTTTAAAGCCAGGGCTTTATTTTTTTTTCTTTATTTTATCATTTTATTGGGGATTCATACAACTCTTATCACAATCCATACATTTGTATAGCTGTTACCCTCATCGTTCTCAAAATATTTTTCCCCCATGTAAGTCCCTGGCATCAGCTCATTTTCCCCCCTCCCTCCTTGCTCCCCCCTCTCTCATGAACCCTTGATCATTTATAAATTATTTTGTCATATCTTACACTGCCCGACGTCTCCCTTCACCCACTTTTCTGTTGTCCATGTAGGTCCTTGTAATCGGTTCCCCCTTTCCACCCCACCTACCCTCCACCCTCCCAGTATCGCCACTCTCACCACTGGTCCTGAGGGGATCATCCATCCTGGATTCCCTGTGTTTCCAGTTCCTATCTGTACCAGTGTACGTCCTCTGGTCTAGCCAGGGTAGAATTGGGATCATGATAGTGGGTAGGCAGGAACCATTTAGGAACTAGAGGAAAGTTGTATGTTTCATCGTTGCTACACTGCACCCTGACTGAAAGCCAGGACTTTAAAGAACACTAGCAACCTACTCTACGCTGTCTTCAAATAGAATATTTACAACAAAAATCAGCAGGTTCTAACATCACCCTGTGAAATCTTCTTAATCAAAATTATCCACAATATCATAGCCAACATTTTCTCCCTGTAATGTATTACCATTTATTTGGTAGACAGATTTTTTTCCTCCCCTTAATATAGAGTAAATTTTCTACTGGCTGGCAGCTTTTCACTCTGGAACTAGCCTCACATACTTAAAGGAGGTAAAGCAATGAGGCCTTCTAATATTTACTGAGCACTTCCTATATTCTCATTCATCATCTCATTTAAGCCTCACACCAACCCTACGAGGTATGGGGAAATGGAAGTTTATATGGCAAACGTTCCCCCTGTAACTTCATGTGACCCCCAGAATGATAAACATACATTCATCTGATCTATGTATGCATGGCTGGGGCTGTCTTCAGAAATGCTCAATCTTAAAAAGCAGTAACCAGCTGAGGTATTTTTTCTATCTTTTTCCTTTTTCACCGTTTCTCAAGTTGATATTTGCCACATCAGGATGATATTAATTCCATCCCTGCTATTTCTGAGCTCATTGCATCTCCTCTTAAGTTGGTGTCAAGAAAGCAGATAACTCTGCTTATTAGAATCATGCCCCAAAACATTAGAAACAAAAAAACCCAGGGCATTCTCCTTTGGAGCCTTGTTTGTTTCTAATGAGAGGCAGGGATTTATTTGCAGATTTTAGACCATGCATTTTCCAGATGAAATGCCTTTACTTTCTTTTATTGCCTTCTGATGAAGGAATCTTGTGAAAGCAAAAAGTCTACTAACGCCCACACACAGGAAGGACGCACTAACTACTGGATGGCTTCTAATGTCACAGAGGCTGAGCCTGGTGCTCCAGGAAGGCACCAAACAGACTTCGGTTGATGGAAGATGAAAGGAGTCAAGCTATAGGGCCATAAGGTACTTATTAGGATTTTTGCTCTGTACTCTGTTAGTATGGCAGCTGGGCACAGTGGTTACACTCACCTGCTACCCTAAACGTTTGCACTTGAACCCAGCAATACTTCTGTGGGAGAAAGAGGAGGCAGTCTGCTCTTGTAAAGATGTATAGCTTTGGAAACCCTGTGGGGGAATTCTCCTTTGACTCAAAGTAACCCGATGAGTTATTCATAGTTACTAGGAGTCAGAAACCACCCGATGGCAATGGGTTTGATGGAGCACTGTAAATATCTGCCATGCCCTAAAGTTAAACATACTTGGGTTCAAATCTTAGCTCTATTAATATCTCCGAGCCTCAGATTCCCTCTTTAAGCTGGAGAGCATACTGTCCGCTTAGTAGGACAATTACAAATTCCATACATGAGATGCCCACTACAATGCAGGCATTTTTTACTGTTGTCATCGGGTGTTATTGAGTCTGTTTGAGCTCATAACAATCCTATGTACGAAAGACTGACACAATGACCAGTCCTGCATTGTCCTCACTCGATTTCCTCCTTGAGCCCGTTGCTGCATCACTGTGTCGATCCATCTCATGGAAAGTGCATTCATCTCTTGAAATCCTTGACGACTTCAATCTTTTTTCTATCATGATGTTGTTTATTGTTTCTGTTGTGAGGATTTGTGTGTTCTTTATGCTGAGTTGTAATCTAGACTAAAGGAAGGCTGTAGTC